GAGAGTTCAGTGTCATTCTAGTAAATTACTGAACCTGAAGTCTTGATGGGAACCTGCAAATTTGTAGCCAGTTAGTGTTTTGTGGAGCCCTTTCCTCTCCCTGTGGCATCTGTACTACACACACACACACACACACACACACACACACACACACACACTCACACACACACATACACACACACACACACACTCACACACACACATACACACACACACACACACACACACACACACACACACACACACGCAGAGGCATCTGGCATGCTTGCCTGTTCTGATGCATAGCCCTTTCTGGGAAGGAGCAGCAGAGATTAGGAAGACACATTGACAATCCCCCGGTGAGGTCAAACTTCTGACTGTCATGATGGGCAGCTAGGACCTAGCCACTAGTGTCCCTGCTGGGATAAGCAGGACTGGCTCTTACAGCATGATTCCTTCTAGAGAACAGGACTGGAAAGCACATTGCTCATCTTGACACAATGGAATTCTCCCAACTATCCAGTTTGTACCTCCTATCTGGTCCTGGAAACTTAAGTATCTCTGGAGTGACCTGCTTGGGCAGCCATGCCCCTCACAGCTGCTGGTTAGAGAGCACTGCTCTGGGGTCACGTGGACTTGAACTTTCTACTGGCTCCATCTCTTTACTGTCCTGATGCTGTGGCCTCAGTTTCCTTATTTGAAAATGGAATGGGTCCATGCCTTCTTCAATGCTAGAAAGAATGGATGGGATTACAGTGTGTGTGACCTGGTATTACAGACAATCAAGTACAGGTTTGGTTGCATTAAACAGTCACAAAAGAGCTACCCGCCCTCCATGCCTTGCACAGGGGTTAGGGGTGGGTGAAAGATTCTGCATTTCCTGGGGGAGTCATTTGTGAGAGGCCTCTCTTTGGGTGCTACCTGGGTGTCCTCTGCTAGTCCCAGGTCAGGTCAATTTTGTGTTCTGGGATAGGGACACTTGGAATGGTTCTACCTGCAAAGTAACATGGGATCAAGCTGCCAAGATGAGTCCAGTGGGCGTTGTCTCCAAGGTGGTCATCCAAGCTGAGGCACCTGGGTAGGAACTGGGTGCTAAGGAGTTACTGGGTAGAGATGGGGCTCTGAACATCTGGTGGGGGAGATGGCTAGTACCTTTTGATTTAATTTGCATCCATTCAGCCTTCAGAGGCGGATACTGCTGTCATGTCAATGAGGAGGAGTCTCAGGCTGTAGGAATCCAGGCTACTTTGTAAGTAGCCAGGGCTGAAGTCCATACCTGCCTCTCCCCCATATACCTCTTGCTCTTTTCATCAACATTCCTTATACCAAGGTAGTAACCACTCTGCCCTTTCAGTCTCCATCCCCACTGACTCTCACATTACCCTGCTGCAGAGATGTCATTATCTCCGGAATGTGGCTCCAGCCTCCCCTACCTCTGCTGCTAATGGGCACCCTAATCTAATTGATTCCAAATGAACGTGACACAGAATTAAAAGATGCCAGAAGACACTACGGTAAATCGAAGGAGTTGGCTTCAATTTATTGTTTTGAATTCAATTATGCTTCTCTTCCAACTTCTTTGTCTATTAATCCAGCGGTGGACCATGGAGCATGGACTGGAAGGGGCTACTGTTTCTTTCCAGGCTGTTCCTGGGCTTGGGCTCCAGCAATAGCATTGGATGGAAAACCTCAGTCTGAACATGGGAGTTCAAGGGAGTTCAAGGCTAGCTGCTGAGTTTCCAACAACCAGCCAGCATATTTCCTGTTGGGGAAAGGATTAAAGCAATGTACCCGATTAAAATGGTTTAAAATTATTTTTAGTGTATAAACAATTCAAGAGACTACATAAAAGAAAATGTTGCAGTCATGGACTTTGTTATTTGATAGTCCCCTGGAGGGCCCATCCAGTAACTGGAGGTCTGGTCTTAGTCTGGCCATACACTCTTTGTGTAACTTAGGTAAGCCATTAATCTTTCCTAGTTTCAGTTTCCCCATTTGAAAAATGGGGGAGTTGGACTCAGAACTGTTTTCAGGGGCACTGAAGTCTTGGCTGTTACTGTGTTTGTGTGTGTCTACCCAGTTTGAACTCAGGACTTAACTTTTCAGCTGCCTTCAAACACTTTCTCATTGGCTGATCAAAGGTTGGAATCAGCCAATGGGAAGCTTTGGCAAGATTGTAGGGAGAGATGAGGGTACTACTGCACAGGGTTGCACCCCTCCGAGTTTCCAGCTCGTGCTACCAGCCCCTTTCCTACATCTCCAGCTCTTTCTGGCTCTGGGGACCCAAGCTCTCTTTGTCCCTTTAGTCCACGGATGTTAACACACTTTGCAGTGAAGTGTCTCTGTTTTCCTCCATATCCTTATTAAGTCTCTTTTCTGGCCCACATTTCCATAGGGAGTATTTTAATTAACATGTCATCATTTGACCTATCTGGGATGAATGTCATTTCCTGCCATGACCTTGAGTAACACAGATGTGAGATCTATTTTTTGACTCCTAGAAGAACTGCAGCTGAGATGAAAATGGGGATCCTGATTGGGGAGGCTGGGTGCTGCTGGGTGGAGTGTTCCTAGAATCTTCAAGGCCAGGCTGGGTGGGGAGAGGTTACTCCTATGACACTGGCAGCCTCAGGCTCAGAGCACAGCCCTACTTCAGAGGGAGGCAACAATCATGGTGAGACTGTGGAAAGGCATGAGGGAATGGCTGTCTACCAATTCCTCCCCTCAGCTTAATCCTCCACATGGCAGAATGCTGGAGAGTGAGAGGTCCCTGATAGGTGACAACATCCTCAGAGAACCCCTGGAAGGGATAGAGTTTCAGAAAGAGCCTCGTGGCACAAAGGATTTATTCTGGAATGGGGCTCTTAAATGATACAGTGATGAGGGCATTGTGTCAGCTGTGGCAGAAGAGCTAGGAGAGAAGTCACAGAGTAGGATGGAGAGAGAGGCAAGAGGTGATGGGTGGTTGAATCTTGTCTTTGAGTCAGTGACTACAGGCTGTAGGAGCATGCTCAGGAATGGACCCATGAGAGTTCTAGGGTCTGGAAGAGGAAGAAGCATCCCATTTGGAGTGTCTGGTCCAGGAGCCTGCCTGTATAGGGGCCAGGCCTGGCTGGAGACATATCCTGCAATGTGTACCAGACCAGAGCACAGGTGACTCAGCATCCAGGGCTGCTGCAGGCTGCCTCAGGTCACCTGGTTGGGAAGTCTGAGTTTGGCTTCAGTGTCCTCTACCTGTTGGACTTAGTGCTGCCCCTCGGAGTAATAGAAGGAAGTCTGGCAGGGAATATTTACCTGGAGAGTCATGGGGAAGAAACTACCACCAGGAGAGGCAGAATGTATACAGCTGCAGGTGTTCAAGACTATCTACGAGTTCTGAAAACAAAGAAGGGATGCAAATGTCAGGAAGGGAGAAAATGGGAGTAGAGGCCTCGGGGAGCTTCCTGGCCTGGGCTGGAGGTCACTATGAACTGTGAGTCAACAGGAAAGATGAAGATGAGGAAGACAGACCAGAACTTCTGGGCAAGCAGAAGTTAGGAAGGAGCTAAGCCAAGAGTCCAATCCAGGCCCCTAAGAAGCAAAGGGGAATGGGATCTGGGCCAGCTGTCCTTCACTTGTCCTGTTACCTCTCGGGGCAAAACTGGCAGATTAGGATGGGATAGGGACATGGAGCAGGGTGAGTCCAACACTCTGACCAGCAATGGGACAAACAAGCCACATCCTTGGGAAATGAAAGACTGGGGTAGAGGCTGGACTTTCTGTGAGAACTCTTTCTTGGAGAGTCAAGGTAAGTGATCCATTCCTTTGATTGTTCATTCATCCATTTATTATCATTTTCTATGAAAGAAGATCTAAAAGATATTCATATAATTTTTATCATTTAAAATATTTTTTAGTTAAAAGGGAATAATAATCTCCCTCTATGAGGTCCAGTGTGATTTTGGCATATGCATAGATTGAGTAATGAATGTAGATGTTGAGCAATGATCAGGATATTCAGTTTGTCCATCATCCCCTGCATCTCATTGTAAAACCTGTCTTCTAGCTATTTTGAACTATACACCATAATATTGACTATGAGGTCAATGTCTTAGACTATCTACTTTTTATTGAAAGCAACAGGAAAACAAAACAGTTTCCTTCTTAAGAAGCACAGCTTAAATATTAATAAAGATGATTCCAAATTAGATTTTTTTCCTGCATAACTCTAAAAATTTTATTCCAAATGGATTTGGTATGTTAGATATTGATCAAATCACTACTTCCCAGTCAAAGCTCAGGGCATCCATCCAACTATTTTGAATATCTTTGCCTCCTGTGTCTTGTGGTTGGTGTTATGTAAACAAATAGGAACAAATCCATCGAGACAGAGAGGTTTATGATGAAGGGAAGCAGTTCCAGTCTCACCCAGCCCTGTCCTGACCTCACCCTCCTGAGGCTTCTTCTAAACATTTCCATTTATAGCATGTCTCCATCACTCTAAACAGCATGTATGCACACTTGATTTGGCTCATCTGTAGAAAATGTATTGACTTCCTGCAATGGAAAACGAGAGGGCTTAGTGCGTATATCTCTTCTTCCTTCCTTTATCCTCACGAGTTTTATTGTTTTACTGTGATTAGTTTTAGTTCTTCTGTCATTCACTTTTAAACCTTTAAACCATGTCATTGCACGTTGATTCTGCATTTCATCAGCTCCAGGAAGGGTTAGAGGATGGTGGCAGCCAGTTTTGGTCTGGCCCCCTTCTATTTTGGAAAGACTGTTCCCTATATCCTGAGTAGACCTGTATGGCTGGCTGGCCTGTTGGTGTATACTGTGACTTTGGCTCTGCCCATTGCTGAATATTGGGCTTGTGGTCCGCAACTGGCCCAAGCCTTTCACCATGAGCACTGCTGCTTTTCAAAGCTTGCTCCTATACATCTCCTATAGGTCCCTTCCTGTGGAGAGAGATTTCTTGAGCAAATGAACCCAGAGGCTGACAGAGTGGAGTGAGGAAGCTGTGGAGAGAGAGAGATGAAGTGATGGTGGTGAGAAAGACAGCTAGATCCCCCTCACCCAAAGCGCAGTCACCTCAGATCCCCCTCACCCAAAGCGCAGTCACCTCAGATCCCCCTCACCCAAAGCGCAGTCACCTCAGATCCCCCTCACCCAAAGCGCAGTCACCTCAGATCCCCCTCACCCAAAGCGCAGTCACCTCAGATCCCCCTCACCCAAAGCGCAGTCACCTCAGATCCCCCTCACCCAAAGCGCAGTCACCTCAGATCCCCCTCACCCAAAGCGCAGTCACCTCAGATCCCCCTCACCCAAAGCGCAGTCACCTCAGATCCCCCTCACCCAAAGCGCAGTCACCTCAGATCCCCCTCACCCAAAGCGCAGTCACCTCAGATCCCCCTCACCCAAAGCGCAGTCACCTCAGATCCCCCTCACCCAAAGCGCAGTCACCTCAGATCCCCCTCACCCAAAGCGCAGTCACCTCAGATCCCCCTCACCCAAAGCGCAGTCACCTCAGATCCCCCTCACCCAAAGCGCAGTCACCTCAGATCCCCCTCACCCAAAGCGCAGTCACCTCAGATCCCCCTCACCCAAAGCGCAGTCACCTCAGATCCCCCTCACCCAAAGCGCAGTCACCTCAGATCCCCCTCACCCAAAGCGCAGTCACCTCAGATCCCCCTCACCCAAAGCGCAGTCACCTCAGATCCCCCTCACCCAAAGCGCAGTCACCTCAGATCCCCCTCACCCAAAGCGCAGTCACCTCAGATCCCCCTCACCCAAAGCGCAGTCACCTCAGATCCCCCTCACCCAAAGCGCAGTCACCTCAGATCCCCCTCACCCAAAGCGCAGTCACCTCAGATCCCCCTCACCCAAAGCGCAGTCACCTCAGATCCCCCTCACCCAAAGCGCAGTCACCTCAGATCCCCCTCACCCAAAGCGCAGTCACCTCAGATCCCCCTCACCCAAAGCGCAGTCACCTCAGATCCCCCTCACCCAAAGCGCAGTCACCTCAGATCCCCCTCACCCAAAGCGCAGTCACCTCAGATCCCCCTCACCCAAAGCGCAGTCACCTCAGATCCCCCTCACCCAAAGCGCAGTCACCTCAGATCCCCCTCACCCAAAGCGCAGTCACCTCAGATCCCCCTCACCCAAAGCGCAGTCACCTCAGATCCCCCTCACCCAAAGCGCAGTCACCTCAGATCCCCCTCACCCAAAGCGCAGTCACCTCAGATCCCCCTCACCCAAAGCGCAGTCACCTCAGATCCCCCTCACCCAAAGCGCAGTCACCTCAGATCCCCCTCACCCAAAGCGCAGTCACCTCAGATCCCCCTCACCCAAAGCGCAGACCTCAGATCCCCCTCAGCCAAAGCCCAGTCACCTCAGATCCCCCTCAGCCAAAGCCCAGTCACCTCAGATCCCCCTCAGCCAAAGCCTAGTCACCTCAGATCCCCCTCACCCAAAGCCCAGTCACCTCAGATCCCCCTCAGCCAAAGCCTAGTCACCTCAGATCCCCCTCACCCAAAGCCTAGTCACCTCAGACCCCTCACTCAAAGCCTAGTCACCTCTTGGCCTTCACAGTTACTTGAGGTTAAAGTTTCATTTTAATATTAATCAATTATACTAAGTATCTCAGTAATACAGGGGAGGTAGTGGTTTGCTGAACACGCTACTCCACATACCATGAGAATTAACACCTAGGCTGCCTGTATTCATTTTGTATAAACAGATTACCTGCACACTTGCTGGCTTAAAGCTTCACAAATTTTACAGTTCTGGAGGTCAGGAGATAGAAATGGTGTCAAGGGGCCAAATCAAAGCGCGTCGGGCTGCGTTCCACCCCTGCAGGCTGGGTAGCTTAGCTTTGCCAACTTCTGTAGGCCACCCCATTCCTGTACAGTTCTGGAGGTCAGGAGATAGAAATGGTGTCAAGGGGCCAAATCAAAGCTCCATCGGGCTGCGTTCCACCCCTGCAGGCTGGGTAGCTTAGCTTCGCCAACTTCTGTAGGCCACCCCATTCCTGCCCTCCATGGTCAGAGCCAGTCAAAGTGGGATACACAGCTCCTCGTTCCCTCTCCCTTCCCCACAGGGTTCCTATGATTACACAGGGCCACCAGGATCATCTCTCCATGCAGTTCCAGGAGACTGTCTCTCAGAATTATGTGGGTCTCTGTCAGCCACCCATCACCCAAGCTACCTCTTTGGCCCTGTGGGTTTATTCCATTTTAAATTTAGTAGCTTGTGTTTCATGATGTGTCAGGGAAAATAAAAAGGAATAAAGGAATACACTCACTGAATGAAAAACTCTAAGGGCTCCTTGAAAGATGGTTAGTGTGAGGCCAGGTTAGCACTCACCCATTCACTCATTCATCCACTCACTCTCTCACTCATTCACTAATTCACTTGCTCACGTGGTCCTTTATTTGCTCGGTCACTCATTGACTGACTCATTTACTTGGTCATTCACTGACTCCATCACTTGCTCCTTTGTTTATACCGTCACTTAATTCACTTGCTCACGTGGTCCTTTATTTGCTCGGTCACTCATTGACTGACTGACTCATTTACTTGGTCATTCACTGACTCCATCACTTGCTCCCTTGTTTATACCGTCACTTAACTCCACTCCACTCCCTTACCCACTCATCTCTCTCCCTAGCTACTTCATTGACTCACTCACAGTGTGGCCTTGGGTGTCCATGTGTTCACATCAAATCCAAGTCTTCCCCAGCAGTACACAGTGTCATGAAGGATGAGTAAGAACCACACACAATGAATAGGTGCCCAACAAATGGCTCTTTCTGTGTGCCACCAGCACCTTGGTCAGGCTGAGTGTTAAGAGGATACAGCACACTCTTGTAGGGTCACCATAAGCCTCTGTAACCCAGTGCCTTGGTGGATGAGCTGATGGTAAGAGGGGTGTCAGGGAAAGCTGTCGTCTCTAATACTAGGTATTTTGAGGGCTCTACACATCTAACTAATTTCAAATAATAAAGCATTCACTAGGGCAGAAGATCTGGGTCACATCTGTGTGTTTGTTTATTGTGGAAATCAGGCAGTCAAGAGACCAAGCATCACTGAGAGAGTTGGAGAACTCATGTTTATTTATGCTGGCAGACCCAGATGAGCTAACGCTCTGAAATTCTCAGCCCTGATTTATAGCTTTCATGGGTTTTATGGGGTCCACTGCCTCATTTATTAACTGTTACAACATTGTTTGGTTTAAATTACAATCCACATGATTCCAAGCACAGATGCTTATGTGTCCTAAAACCATGGAGGGGAAATTCTTTCTGCAAGCATGTTTGCAGAAACAGATACTAAGAGCAAGGGTTAAGATATTCTTTAACAACAGAATTTATTGCAGGTGCCTTATCAAGCAAAACAATTGTAAACAAATGCCCCATTGCAGTAACCATTTCTCAAGGTAAGTTCTGCGTTTTCCATTTTGTCTCTGTTTTCAGTTTGATCTCCTCTTTTAGTATACTTTTAGTTTGATCTCCTCTTTTAGTATACTCTTAGTAAACAACCATTATAAAATCATTTCATAGTAAAAGTCTATTATAAAAATCACTATAAAGTAATTACTATGTCCTAAAGAATATAATGGTTACAAAATAGATTTCAATGCACTCCAAGTAACATTAAATGAATGGATATGGATTTTCCTCTTCATTCTGTCCTTTTCATAACTGGTAACATTATTTAAGGCATTGAACTTTAGAGATTTGCTTCATTAAATACTGGATCCTAAATAGCCCTGCTCTATTGTTTGATATGAGGATCCAGAAGTCAGGACCGTTTGTAATTTCATCACTTCCAAGTGGGAGGAAATGAAATGAGTGAGGCAGTGGAGGAGACAGGGTCCAGAGAGGAGTGCCACTATGATGACTGGCAGTGGGTCCATGACCAGAATGAGCCATGGGGACACTAGTGACTAGAGGGATCAGAGGAAGCCAGGGACTCTCCATGTCCTTGTATCTGTTCCTGTAGGTTACAGATCTTACCTTGTACTATCCCAGATTGGTTTATGTAGAAACAGTACTTTCCCTGTAGGAACAGCATAGGCCTCCTCTCTCTGGCAGTAATAGATCAAGTCCACTTTTAATTTGTAAAACTATTGCAGCCAATGAGTACAACCGTTTCTGTATTAAAAATATTGATTTTGAGATTTCCTGGAGGTCTTTATTAAATTCTTGGGTAGGTATTTGACTTTAAGTTCCATATTAGCTATCCTTGCAGCTCCTAGGGCTATACCTGAGGGGATTTCCAATCCCACCAGGAGAGGAATCAGTATGGGTACTCCTTTGGGCTTGCTGTAGTATATATAATAGGCAGGCACTGGCAGAGGTTGGTCTCCAGACTAATATCCTGGACTTTTCCTGACTCTCCTGTGGTGGACTGGGGTAGGACCTGCCCTTTTGTAAAATGTTGACTAAGGAGAAGTCATATTTTAAGGGACTTAGGAGAATCAATACTTATTTATGTATGTATTTATTTACTTATTTATTGAATGTGTGTGCCATGGCATGCCTGTGGAGGTCAAGGACAACTTGTGGGAGTTGGTTCTCTCTACCATTTGAATTCCAGGAATTGAGCTAAGGTTATTAGGCTTGGCAGCAAGAACCTTTAAAAGCCTAACCATGTTTCTGGCTCTCAACTCATTGTTTTGTTTTTCCATTTCATTTTCTTCTTTTTTTAATAGAATTATTGAGAATTTCATACAATATATTTTGATCATATTTAGATCCCATCTCTATCTGCACCCCCATTACTACCCCTCCAATTTCCTGTATATCTATATCTACATCTATATAAAGAGAAAGTCAGGTTTGTGTCCCCACTTGTCGTTCAGTGTGGGTTCATCCATTGGAACCTGGTTAATCTACCAAGAATCTCATCCTTACATGAGACTGAATCTCCCCCTCCCAGAAGTCATTAATTGCCAGTAGCTCCTCAGGTAGGGTTGAGGTTTCTTAACCATTTCCTCATGCTGGGATTTAGTCTGGTTTGTGTTTAGGTGGGATTTATGCTTGCTGTCACCATTGCTATGGTGCTGGGATTTTGCCTGGCTTGAGTTTAGGTGGGATTTATGCATGCTGTCACCATTGCTGAGTTCATATGAATAACTAACCAGCTGTCTGGAAAACTCTGTTTCCTTGTGGCCCCATCTACCACCTCTGGCTCTTACAATCTTTCCACCTCCTCTTCGGGAATGAAACCTGAATCTTGGGAGGCAGAGCGTTGATATTGGTGTCCCATTCAGGAATAAGCTGTCTGTGGCCTCTTATTCTCTGCACGCTGGCCAGTTGTGGGTTTCTGTTTTAAACACCATCTGCTGTATAACATAAAGCACCTGGTGGGAGAAGGTAGAGGGGGACTAAATTCTTATCTAGTTGTTTTTACTAGATGATAGTGCACATATCACATGTCTGAACACACACACACACACACACACACACACACACACACACACACACACACACTCCTCAGCTTCTGGAGATGGTTAGGATGTTGCAGTGGAATCTCTTTTCCCACTTGCTTTGGCAGAATACAAGAATTCCTCCAGGCCCACAGCTGTGGAGGTCTTTCTTGGCAGCACACAGTCTTTAATCACATTGTGGAGGACAGGAGGCTTTGGGCCTCAGGAATCTGCTTAGTTGATAACTCAATTTTGTGGCTGGACTGAATTTTTAAGCAGTGACGGCACACCCCACGGAAATCCGGAATCTAATTAGGGCCAGTCCACATTGTTTCTCATCTCTTCATGCAGCCTTCCGTTGAGCCTTCTCCTTCTCTTGGCTGAAGCCTACCTGAGGTCAGTGGGGACAAACTGCCCAGCAGAAGGCTGGCTATTCTCCTGATCTTCAGAGCAGCCACATGTGCTGGAACCACAGCTTGAGAGGACAGGGTCGTTGTGGTCCCAGGGACCAGGCACTCAAGACAATTGTAGATTTGTGGGAATGGGGGTTCTAGACACAGAGGTCCTGGGTGCTTTCAGACATCACTCGCCTGGACAGCCATTCATTGTGAGACTACTTAGATTGCTTATTGATAACAAATATTGAAGTTAAGACTGCTAGAAAATTAGTTGTGAGGATTTTAACAACACACAAAGCAAACTTCAAATGCGTCTAATCAGCTTTGTTCATACAAATATGAAAATGTGCCCTACATGGTTTGGCAAGAAGTTCTGGACTGTTCTGGAATTCACATTTACTTCCAGAATCCTAGGACTATTGAAGATTCTTTTTTTTTTTCTAGAAATCTCTTATGGTTTACATTTGTTCTATAGTTCAGCCTCCTGACCTTATTAACAATTTAAATCAACACCAATAGACAAGAGGTAGCTGCTTTTAAAATGAGGTCTTGAAGGATCCTGGGATCTCAGCTAGATTTAGAGGGAAGAATGCCATAATTAACCAGCAAAGTCCGCAGG